TTCAGCTGGAGAAGTCACCATCTGAAAAGTCACTGTGCAAAGACTAGCGAAACGCGCATCCTCTAACTTGTTATAGGAAAACACAAACACACACACACACACACACACACACACACACACACACACACACACACACACACACACACACACACACACACACACACACACACACACACACACAAGCACACACAGAGAAAACACATGCCACACCTGTTTGATTGGCGCTGAGAGGTTGACTCGGAACACCTCACCATGGGAGAAGACCTCGCTGACGCCAACAGCTGGACAGAATGCGAAGTGACAGAGATACCGGTATACAAAGAAATGCATTGACAACAATCTTACTTCTGAAATACAACTGTCAACTGTACAAGCATACGATATGTGTGTGCATGCATGTGTGTGTGTGTGTGTGTGTGTGTGTGTTTGTGCATGTGTGTGTGTGTGTGTGTGTGTGTGTGTGTGTGTGTGTGTGTGTGTGTGCGTGCGTGCGCGCGTGTGACATCAAGTGGAGCACCATTCTAGTGCTTCTTTCACCTTCACGCGTCCATTCCCATACACAGCGAACGTGAACTGGGCTTCGCCTGTTCACCGGCGATTCAAAAAATGTCTCGCAAGTGACATCAAAAAGTGACCGTGACCAAAAGCTCTATTAGCAAAAGGAGTATTTTCGCTAAAGTTTTGCCGCACTGATCGGAATTTTGTATGTACAGTACAATACTGTAGTCACCTTTGATTTTGAAATCTGAAACTCGGATTGCTACATTATTTCATTGCGAATTTGTCCTGATTAATAAAACGCTAAAAAAAAAGGACCCGGTAAAATCAGCCGTTCTGCAGTATTGTAAATTCAGGTAGGCCAGTGAACTATGTTGCCAAGTTTCAAGCCTCTCCATAATATTCCAAAGGCTAGTACATGTGTGAAGGGGAAGAAGCTAATGAGTTGTAGCCCAAGTGGCTAGGGCTCTGTGCATGCCAAGTGGCTAGGGCTCTGTGCATGCCAAGTGGCTAGGGCTCTGTGCATGCATTCAACTTCATGGTCATGGGCTCACCGCTTGAGAAATAAAACATCCGGGTGCAACGCATTTTCACGTTTTCACTTCGGGCAGCGAGTGTGATAGACATTTCGCCTGCCCTCACAATTCAGCATACGAAGCATACCGTATAGCAGGAAATTTTCGGACGGAAATATTTTCGGACGCAGCCGATTTTCGACCTTTCGTACGGATTCCATTTTCGCACAGTGCTGCATGCTAAATGCACGTAATCGCATGTAGAGCGTACATAACTTCACAGGGACAAATTTTAGAACGGAATTGATTTTAGTACAAAAGAGGCCCGTGTACGAAATCGTACGAAAATAAATTCCGTCCGAAAATTTCCTGCTGTACAGTATGCATACAGGGACATAGATTAGTGCAAGTTTCAGCTGTGCTGCACTGAGACTGAGTCAAGTAATAAGCAGATATAGTAAAACCTGGCAAGGCGACCACTCGGATAAGGTGACCACCTGTCCTAGAAGACCACTGAAACCAGGACCAAGAGATGCTATTTCCAGGCAAATGGCCCTGGATACGGAGACCACCTGGTAACAGAGACCACGTTTTGAATGTCCCTTGAGCGGTCGTCTTAGACAGATTTCAGTGTACACTAATAGAGTACACAGCCGGATCAATTCCCAAATGAAAAGAACACACATATGCACACATACAGTGCTGACTACTGAAATCAGACACCCTGAGCGGTGCGCTCATATCGCAAAGACCCAACACGGGATGGTAAAACTACGAAACAGAGACCGCTAGAATGTGAACCCACCGCTCGGGGGGTCGGATTTCAGTTTCCAGCACTGTACATGCACACAAACAAGAGAGGACAGTATAGACCGTTAGTATGGTGTGCCTCAACGCACATCCCCAAACCAAGAGGTGGGATCAGGAAAGAACAGTGAGACGATCAACATGATGGGCTTCAAAGCACGTCCCAAGGCCATGGCTGCTCTGATATGTGTTTGTTGACGCCTTTTAAAAAAAAAGCTGTGAGTGGGGAGTGATTGGCCGGAAGGGGAAAGACGTCCTCGGGGAGGCTGTTCCACAATTCAAGGAAACCGTACGGGGGGGGGGGGGGGGTGGAGGGTGCATGCGTGTCAGACGGGGTGGGCCCTTGTAAAGGTAGGACAGCCCTGCGACTGTCCGTCTGGCGCGCAGACTCGGGAGGACGGTGGTGGGTCCAATCATCTGCATGGCATTGCGCTGTGCTGTAGCCAACTTCCCAATGTGGGTCTGGGCAGCACCAAACCTCCACATAGGAGCAACCAACTATTTTTTTTAAAGGGGAAGTTAAGGCAAAAATTAAAATTTCACCAGTTGTAGTCTTCGGGGTGCTGAGTCGAATGGTCTTGGTCCGAGGAAGCTGAGACGCTCCCTTCCTACTTGAATCCCAATCGAACTCGCGCACTTCCACCGAAACTGGGTGACTGCGCCCTACGAGATGGGGATTTGTATGCAAAATGTCACTAAAAGCGCCATTTCGTTCTTATAAAAGCACGGATGACCGCGATTGGCCCATATGTTGTAGTCTTTTGGACGCTGAGTCGACTGGTTTTGGTCCGAAAAGGCTGCGATGCAGCGTTCCTCCTTTATTCCCAATCGAACATGGTTGAACAAGTGGTCACGTGCTCCTGGGTGCCCAAATCACCTGGTCACCACGCCAGCAGGTGACAACTTTCACACCAAGGTTCAACTCGAGTTCAACTTGAGTGACAGGACTGCACCCAAAAAAGGTCAAACAGGCTAGTAAGTTGTACCCTGCAGGCACGGTGACCAGGTGACTGGCGTACGCAGGAGCACGTGACCACTTGTTCAACCATGTTCGATTGGGAATAAAGGCAGAACGCTGCATCGCAGCCTTTTCGGACCAACACCAGTCGACTCAGCGTCCAAAAGACTACAACATATGGGCCAATCGCGGTCATCCGTGCTTTTATAAGAACGAAATGGCGCTTTTAGTGACATTTTGCATACAAATCCCCATCTCGTAGGGCGCAGTCACCCAGTTTCGGTGGAAGTGCGCGAGTTCGATTGGGATTCAAGTAGGAAGGGAGCGTCTCAGCTTCCTCGGACCAAGACCATTCGACTCAGCACCCCGAAGACTACAACTGGTGAAATTTTAATTTTTGCCTTAACTTCCCCTTTAAACAATGCAACACAATATTGTGGAAAGGTCACAACAATAAGAGACAAGATCAAAAGGAAAGCTTTACAATAATAATAGCAATGAAAAGTATGAATGCCGCAGACATCACCACGCAACATGACAATTTGTTCAAGGTTTGGTTTTGTGTGTTTCCAAAATCGATTTTCACGTTGCGATCATCAGTGGAAATACGCAACTAAAGAGATCAAGGGAAAAACAAAGGTTAAAAATCCAAAGAAGTGTGACACATGACGGGTAACTTGTGGTAAGTATTACAAAAAGTGAGAACTAAAATAAAGAGTAAGTGTGACAAACGGGCATGAACAGTGCAGAAACAACTCATGAACACGGGGTGCAAACTCACGAAAATAACCTAAGTGCTAAAACATGTTCTTTTTGCTTACACAAATCGGGCTTATGCGTACGAATACAAACAGCTTCAAGGACCTTCAACTGCTGGACATAACGGGCACGACACAGTACAGAGAAGTGGGAATCATCATACACACTCAAACAATCGGGACGAGATAACAAATGCAAATACACAGCTGACTTCTTACGAATTTCACCCTCATCAGCTCCATCACCTTCCCTGCCACCTGACTCCTCCTCGTCCGTTTTATCACCATCACCACCAGCCGTCTCACCGTCATCCGCCTCGTCTTCATCCGCCGCCTCGTCATCACCCGCCTCGTCGTCATCTGTATCCTCGCCGTCATCCGCCTCGTCGTCATCTGTATTCTCGTCATCCGCCGCATCATCACCCAACTCATATTCACCACCAGTCAGTCGTCTGATACCATCCATGTTCTCCTTCCTACGTCTGTCCCGTGCCACTGTCCTTACCTCATCTACGTCCCGAGATTGTGTTCCGTTTTGCCCCCGGCTTCCGGTCTCCTTCGATGCTCCGCGTGGGCCTTGGCCATTCCTAGCATATATTTCGGTTGAATAATTGGCGGTCGACCTCCGTGGTCTCTGGACCCACGGATCAATCGCCGGAGGGTGCTGCGGTGTCCGCACAGCCGGATACTGTGTCAAAGAAATGGGCTCAATTTCTGTGATTGGCGGTACTGTTGTTGTTGCCAACTCCTCCCCAACCCCAGCCACCAACGGCACTGGTGGTGGCTCCGGCGACGGCAAGGGCAACGGTGGAGAAGGCACATTCGGTTGGCTTAGTGATCCACCACTCTTCCTCTGCACCGTGTGTTCGACTTGCTCTGGTTGTGTCGGTGGTAGAGGGAGCGGGTTCTTGCGTGGTCTTCCCCGCTTCGGGCGCTTCGCTTTTGCTGCGTCCTGCAGCATGTGAAGTGGTACATGCTGCTTGATACGTGCGCTCAGGTGTTGAAGGGTCCTACCAACGTACCGGCTATCACAATTCCGGCACTCAAATTGGTAGACCAAGTGGCTCAATAGGTGGGATGGTAGGACATCCTTCCTCACCGTGAACGCACGTATCGTAGTGAACACAGGGATGAAGTGCGCCGCAAAGTATGTTTGTGTAACTAGCGTTTTGATTGTGCGGCACAATGTCTGTGATGCCTCTCCTTTCCAAGGTAAGGAAAGGTAGACTGGGCAACGACTTGGACCAATGATGACGACCTTTGGTTTTGATGCTGATTTTAGTAGCTTGTTTAGCAGTTCCTCCGGGTAACCATTTTTGAGAAACACAGATTTCAGAAAACCTAGCTCATCCTTGAGTCGAGAGGGGGAACAGATTCGCCGCGCTCTATCCACCAGATTCTTCACCAGGTTGACCTTATACAGGTACGAACAATACGAGTCAAAGACGATATATTGTCCGGTAAATGTTGGTTTCCTGTATATTGACGTTACAATTTCATCGTTTGACTTCTCCACACGCACATCTAGAAAGGACAAGGTGTTGTTCTGTTCATGCTCAACCGTGAATTTCAGAGAGGGATGTAAGTTATTCAATCGGTCCAAGAAGGCGTCACACTGTTGTACTGAATCAAAATATGTGAACGAGTCGTCGACAAAACGAACGTAAAACTCCGGCCACAGTGACTGGTCCACAAGAGATTCGCAGTAGCCAACAAATATATTTGCCAACACTGGACCTAATGGTGATCCCATGGCTACCCCATCCACCTGCCTATACATCACGTTATCAAATGAAAACTCAACGCCCGTAGTAACAAGAGACATCAGTGTACGGAAGGAGGACTCAGGCAGCCATGGCGTGTCAACAGAGTTATTGTGATAGAGAACATCCGCACAAATATCTATGGTCTGTTCCAACGGTACATTCGTGAACAAACTGACCACATCAAATGAGCACATGTGCGCTGTAGCGGGAATCTGGCGAGTGCGAATGAGGTCTACAAACTGGAAGCTATCCCTGACAATGTTCTTACAGTAATAATCTTGCACAGCTCCAAGCATCAAACAGAGCCACTTCGATACTTTGTACTGTGGGGATGCTACCATTGATAATATTGGGCGTAATGGACAATTCGGCTTATGGATCTTTGGCAAGCCATAGAGTCGCGGGCGGGCGGAGCCTATTGGCTTGATTCTCATGAACTCTGAGACCGAAATTTCTTTCTCAGCTTTCAATTTCTTTAGGTATGTTATCAGGCGTTTCTCTACTTTTGTTGTATTATCATGAGTGGAAACTGGTCCGAGTTTCACGAACTTGGAGTCATCGTTCAGGATTACCGCCATTTTTGATATGTACTCTGTTCGGCTCATTATGACCGTTGCGCGTCCTTTGTCCGGTCTGGTAATTAAGATATCATGATTGTTACTGAGTTCACGTCGGACTTTGAGGTGTTCACGGGACAGGTAAAATTTGCTGCGGTCCGGCGGTTTTGCAGCGTGTTCTTCCGCAACCGCTCTGATACTGGCAGTGCATACAGCCTGCTGGGCATCAGACACGGGCTTGAGCTGCTGAAGCTTCTTGTAGAATAATTCAAACTCCGTGAGTACTACCTCCTTCTTGTTATTGGCAGGAGGAATGCCGAAGTCAGGTGGCAGGGAAGGTGATGGAGCTGATGAGATGGAGCTGATGAGGGTGAAATTCGTAAGAAGTCAGCTGTGTATTTGCATTTGTTATCTCGTCCCGATTGTTTGAGTGTGTATGATGATTCCCACTTCTCTGTACTGTGTCGTGCCCGTTATGTCCAGCAGTTGAAGCAGTTGAAGGTCCTTGAAGCTGTTTGTATTCGTACGCATAAGCCCGATTTGTGTAAGCAAAAAGAACATGTTTTAGCACTTAGGTTATTTTCGTGAGTTTGCACCCCGTGTTCATGAGTTGTTTCTGCACTGTTCATGCCCGTTTGTCACACTTACTCTTTATTTTAGTTCTCACTTTTTGTAATACTTACCACAAGTTACCCGTCATGTGTCACACTTCTTTGGATTTTTAACCTTTGTTTTTCCCTTGATCTCTTTAGTTGCGTATTTCCACTGATGATCGCAACGTGAAAATCGATTTTGGAAACACACAAAACCAAACCTTGAACAAATTGTCATGTTGCGTGGTGATGTCTGCGGCATTCATACTTTTCATTGCTATTATTAAACTTTTATCTCCACGTAGATTACTTTACAATAATAATAATAATAATAATAATAAAATGTAGCCTGTAAAATGTAGCCTGTAAAATGTAGCCTGTAAAATGTTAAGCAACCAACTACTGTAAATCAACTAATTTTCGCTGGCGATTTAATTTCGCTGATTTCGCCGCTGGGTACCAACCGGCCAAAGCAAATCGCAGGCCAAAATTTGTCATAGAGGCAAATGATGCATTATTGAGCCATCGCTGCATGTGAGGGCAACAAATACCAATCGATTTCTTTTTTGAAAACCCAAATCGGCCAAAGTTAAAAGACGGCCAAAAGTTTCATTTCGAGATCGGCCAAAGTTTCTCATTGGCCAAAATTTGTTGATTTACAGTATTACTTCTTTGTGACGTGTAAACTAGCGCAACCTATTCCTGTGCACCTCTCCTTCTCATTGTGATTGATTTAGCACTTGTGATAGTTTTGTCTGGTAGGGTTCACAACACCTCCATTCTGCACTATTCCTTTTTGTGTTGATTTGTCACATGTGTGAGTTAGTTGAGTGTTTACACCTTGCGCCGGTATCTTCTCTACGAGAGAGCTTGGAAGCTCAGGGCCCTACGCTATGCTTTTTTGCCTTGATGACCTAGACAAAAAAAAGCATAGGGATGTTATAAATTCTTTAAAAAAATCCTTTTTTTTTAAGACATAACCTGGGATTCGAACCCGCAGTATCGCGCGCCCTGCATGCATCCCCCGATACACTTCACATACATACTAATTCTTCCAAGTTGTTTCACATTGTGATCTTGCATTTGAAAGCCCTATTTGAATATGCATTGTGGCCAGCCGTCTTTGATGGCACGGTACGGTAGGGGATAGGTACGGGACAGGTACGATCGAGGGTAATACAACACCGTCTCCCGTACCGTACCATCAAACACAGCTGGCCACATACAGCTGCCCGCAATATTCAAATAGGGCTTTCAAACGCAAGATAATAACCTGAAGCAACTTGGAAGAATGGGTATGAATGCGAAGTGTATGGGGGAATGCATGTAGGGCGATAGTGCGGGTTCGAATCCCAGGATATGCCTGAAAAAAATAGGAGAATTGAAAAATTTATAACATCCTATGCTTTTTTGCCGTCAGATACGGATAGCGCCAGGCGTGACACAAACAAACAAACAAACACACAAACAAACACACAAATACCAAATTAAAGCTGTGTGGACCCTGGCTAGCGCCAGACGTTACTGAAGTAACGTCTTCTGCATAGCTACGGGAATTAAACAATACATGTTCATAGCGACATGCACACGTATGCATGCAGAGACGAACACACAACACGCTCTAGGATAACACGAGAACAGAGTACTAGCATCTGAGTGAAGTCTGCCTAGTACGTACCAATATCATCATGGATTAAGCTGGGTGTGGCAACAGCCGCTGCTTCAACAACAGTCATACCGAATGCATCATGAAGTGATGGGTGAATGTTCAGCAAGCTAAATGCATACACACAACATACAAGATGTGGCAAACAGCAACAACTAGCACCAGAATGCCAAGGCACAATAGGTAACCATTAAAACAAAACACAAATGTATGAGCAGAGCTACGCTGTCATTGGTCTTCTCTATCTCTCTCTCTCTCTCTCTCTCTCTCTTCTCTCTCTCTCTCTCTCCTCTCTCTCTCTCTCTCTCTCTCTCTCTCTCTCTCTCTCTCTCTTCTCTCTCTCTCTCTCTCTCTCTCTCCATACAAGATGTGCCCAACAGCAACAACTAGTACCAGAATGCCAAGGCACAATAGGTAACCATTAAAACAAAACACAAATGTATGAGTAGAGCTAACTGTCATTGTTCACATACTCTAACACACGCACTCTCACTCACTCACTCTCTTTCTCTCTCACTCTCTTCTCTCTCTCTCTCTCTCTCTCTCTCTCTCTCTCTCTCTCTCTCTCTCTCTCTCTCTCTCTCTCTCTCTCTCTCTCTCTCTCTCTCTCTCCTCTCTCTCTCTCTCTCTGTCGCACTCTCTCTCTCTCTTTCTCTCTCTCTCTCTCTCTCTCTCTCTCTCTCTCTCTCTCTCTCTCTCTCTCTCTCTCTCCTCTCTCTCTCTCTCTCTCTCTCTCTCTCTCTCTCTCTCTCTCTCTCTCTCTCTCTGTCTCTCTGCATTTCCGTGTTGCCTGTTGACGAGTGTGCCTAACGTGATCTTTGCCTTCTGAAAACGTGCAGTTCTTCAATGATGCCATGCGGGATAACAGCGCAAGTAGAATGAGCTACTATCACACGTCCCTATCATCATACCTTGTCTGAAACGCCTCCATCAGCTTGTCAGTTGAGCTAAACCCTCCCCAGTATTCGACCTGTACTTCTGCCTCAGCTATCCTGCAGGGGAAAATGAGGGAGAATATGGGGGGGGGGGGGGGGGGCAAATACAGCACACACACACAGAGTGGTCTAGAGATGGATGCCTCGAGTTCAAGTCAGCATAAACCATTAAGTGCCATCAAGACGGCATATGAACATGCGAATCAACACGTGCAGAGCACATACCGGTAGACACTGAAAGAGGTAAAAATTTAAGGTAGCCGGAGCATGCAGTGGCGAACTGACAGATCATCATGGACAGGGACAAATCAGACTCTTTACAAACGTTTGCAGTTTGCCGCAAGCAAGCAAGCGCGCACACACGCATGAGCGCACATGCATGCACGCTCGTGCACACACACACACACAGACACACACACACTCACTCACTCACTCACACACACACACACACACACACACACACACACACATGCACTCACTCCCTCACACACATACACACACACACACAATAGACACACTTGTACACACACAATAGACACACTCGTACACACACACACACACACACACACACACACAACACACACACCATGTACCATGTACACCACACACACACACACCCGCACACACACACACACACACACACACACACACACACACACACACACACACACACACACACACACACACACTTCATCCGATCTGCCTTGTCCTCGATGGTACAGAAGACACAAGGCAGCACAGCACGTACCTGGATTTTACCAAGGATGCGTAGGATTGATCGGCTACAGCCCCACAGAGTCGTAAGGAGATGCTTCTACTGCGGAGAAATGCTGCCATCTCCACCACTAAGTCAGCAAACAACATGGCATTCTGCAATGAACAAAAGGGATAGAGAACAATTCTCAAATAAAATAGTGAAGTTTGCTCATGAACCTATTCAAGAGACG